ATAATCAATCAACATATGCAGTGTCCGAGTTACAACTTCTCATTCTATCACTTCTCTTCTTTGTAATTTTATTCAGTTACTGGATGGTTTGTGTACTTTCACCCGTTGACTGCTATGTTGGCTTGTTTTTTGTACGCATCGTTCATTAGTCTTATTTCTTCTTCTCAGTGTAACCTGCTTTATCTATTTCGATTGTCGCCGCTCTTCAATATCTCCAGCGATGTGAGACAAGGTTGCCCGCTGTCGCCTTTCCTCTTTAACTTCGCTATTGATGAAGTCATGGCAACAGGGTTCGCTCGACACGACCTAGAAGGTGTGGAGCTACTTCCTGGTGACACCACCCAAACGTACCAGGCTGCACTGGACCGATTAGCACTGACTGTCAATCGTTTTGGGCTATGATTTGCTCTATCGAAATGCAACGTTCTTCTCCAAGGTTGGCAGGGACCCACCCATGCGCTAATTTTTGGTAGTAATCAGCTAGAAGTCGATCAGGAATTCAAGTATCTGGGCAGCTATATTAGCGCCCGTGGGATCAAAGCTGAGATTACGAATCGTATAGCAAAAGTTCGCGGCGATTTTGCCAATCTCCACCACCTGTGGCGCAGATGCGACATCACTCTCGCCCTGAAGAACGGAGTTTTTAGTGCAGCCGTCCGTTCAACCATCTTATACGATTGTGAAACCTGGCCCATCAGGTCAACAGACATAAAGAGGCTAGCCACGTTCGATCTTCGCTGCGTCCGCAGCTTAGCTCATGTCTGGTGGGAGCACCACGTGAGCAATGAGCGTGTTCGGCGTCGCGTATTTGGTGTAGGAGGAGCTAGTGGACCGCTCAGCACCATTATATCACGCACCAGGCTCCGATGGTTGGGCCACGTGTTGCGCATGTCAGCACACCGACTCCCGTGACGTGCATTGTTTGCGCGCCGGGGGTGCGGTTGGAACAGGAGGAGGGGAGGCCAAGCGATGACTTGGTCGAGAGAAATGAATGCCTTCACTTCGAAGTTGGCGTCGGTTGGTGTTTCCCGACTGTTTGGCTATGGATCGAAGAATGATGAACACGTTTGGTTGGACACACTTGCTGATATGACTAGGAGCTGACCCCAATGTCGTTTGTGTTGTAAGTTACTTTGTCTCTCCCCCTGCAATCACAAGCTCATTCGTTAGACATAATATAACTCTGCGGCACGATAGCCGGATGTTAGCTCTCCGGAACGATGCCCATCCGTTACTGGGAAGACTCAGCCGGCGTGCCTCTGTTTTTTTCTTTTTCTTGTCTTTTGTATTGCGGCACAATAGTTGAGATGTTTTCAACCTGCAGCTAACATGCATAATGAATGGATGAATGATTTCGACTGTCATTCGTACCTCGCCAGTGGATAGCTTGAAGACATATTCTTCGGAATTCAGGACGATTGTATATCTGAATTTCCTAGTCAAGTCCATTTCATTCTGTTTCGTTTTTGAATATATCTAAAAGCTCTGCGATTGTGGCCTGTTCGAAATTGTATTTTAGTCCCTTGGTGGGGAATTGTCTTGCACCCCTAGGCGGATAGTTAAATGAAATCCTGATTCAGTCGTTTATGGCATTCTATTCGTTGCGGATTTTAGATTCTGTTGAATTACCATAGAGTGCTATCTGTTTTTCCTATTGATGCTCATGATTCTACGTTCTACTATCTCAATCAGTTTTTCCGTCAGTGTCCCACAACTTACTCACTGGTTGCGTTTCTTGTTTTTGTACAGGCTTTTGGCGTTACTAACTGCTATTCATTCTCAGCGACTATTCGTTATGTTGTCTCTCCACTGGACTTATTTTCCTCCCTATATCTGCAGTGATGTATTGTCGGATAGTGCAAGGCTAATGGTGGGCGAAAGTTGACTTAGCGGCGGGAAATGAAGTCACTGGGTGCCGTTGGCCCGTCTCACCTTCCAGGCTGGAGCCCACTTGAATTGCTTTATGCTTAGCTCGAGATGCTACAGGACATGGCTAGCAGTCCGTACTCGTTGGCGTGTCTGCTGTCGTCTCCCAGTCGGACTGCCTGTTTGGTGCTGAGTTATCTGCGAGCTCTTGGCTGATAATTTGCACGAGAGAACGCGTACTGCCTCACTGAGGCTATGCTCCGACAATGTGGTCTCACGATCGGCCCTCATTTGGAACGTTTCACTGCTTCCTAGTGGCTTTCTACATTACATTTCCAGTAATTTTACTCACCCTGGAGCACAGCGATCCATTGCTTTGTGTCTGCGCATTTATAGTTTATTAACGTCATCACACAGGTGATTTGCATCAAAGTCGCTCCCTTTCTCCATTGGTCTTACCGAGGATACCTGCTTTTTGGCTGCGCAGCAATGCATTTTCTCTCTCTGGATCATGTTGTACAGTGGAGTGCCTATGTAACCTACTTTTCTATGTAATTAAAACGGTAGAATGGTCGGCACATTCATCTGACCATCGGTTTGAATCACAGTCGTGCTCTTTGGTATCTGGGGATTCTGAACACTGTCAAACTCGAGGCTGAAGTGATGTGTTCAAAGATACTACACCATCACATGTCATATTAATTTCGTATTGTTGGTTGCAATTATTTCTCTTTGTTCCAAAGGGCGCAACAGTCAACAGAATTCCTTCAGTTGTCTTCAAATTCGGGGAGCTTGCTCTTGTAGATGATGTGCACAACCTAGTAATGCAGGTGTGTGTAAGAAACTGTCCCGGCGGACCGGCACCGCTTCGTTATAGTCACAGTTTTCAGGGGGTCACGTTCAGATTACCGCAGTCACAGAGGAATCAGTCTGATTTCATTTGCCACTTACTTGCTTGTCTTTGCTATACTCCACAGATGACTGACACTCATGAAAGTAGATCCCGAAGAGCAAGCCGGATTTCGCCGAAATCGAGACTATAAGGACCACATCTTCACATTGCGCAGCGGTTGGAGCATAACCATATCTATTGACGACACACCCTTGTCGTGTTCCTCGACATCAATGGTGCCGGTAGATTGGTGTGTCATAATGGACTGTCTGTTCAGCAAAGATGTGCTTTAGGAATACATAGACATTATCAGAGTGTTTTGCGTGCATAGTTCGGGCAGAGCGAGGGCCTGCAGCAAACTGTCGCGGTATGGACCAAAGTTGCATGTCGCCACCTTTCCAATTTAACTACACCATTGACGAAGTCATGGAAACTGCATTTATTGAACACGACTTAGAATGTGTAGAGGTGCTTACAAGCGCTCGACTTCTTAACTTGGAGTACGCCGACGATAGTGTTCTTATCTGTTACAGCTCCCAAACGTGTCAAGCCTCACTGGATAAATTATCATTGGCTGTCAGTCGTTTTGGTCTACGCACTGCACAATCGAAGTACAAAGTCATGCTCCAAGAATTGCAGGAACCCACTCCTGCGCTGACTTTTCGCGGTGACCAGTTAGAAGTTGTCCAGATACTCAATTATCTCGACAGGTCCAGCGGGAACAAAGATGAGATCCTTAACCTTACAGCAAAACCTTGAAGTGATTTTACTCGATTTCCTCATCTGTGCCGCTTGCGTGACAACGCGCGCTTTGTAGAGCAGAATTTATAACCTAGATGTGCGTTCTACCCAACTGTACTATTGCGAAAGGTGGCCCAGCAACTCGGCAGACCTAAATAGTATTACTGATGAGTAGTGAGGATTCTGGTATACTTCAGCTGATCCCGACCTAAATAAGTTTGTTACGTTCGACTATCGATATCTTCGTAGCTTGACTCATGTTTGGTTGGTACACCTCGAGAGCGAAGAGCGTGTTCGGCGTCGTGTGTTTGGTGTACGAAGTGCGAGTGATGCGCTCAGCACCGTTTATTCACGCACTAGGCTCCGATAACTGGGCCACGTGCTACGCATGCCGACTCCGGGGACGTGTATTATTGCGCGACCCGGGTGTGGACGGAATAAGGAGTTGAGGCCAAGCGCTGACTTTATCAAGAAGAATGAACGCACTTACTTCGAACTTTGCGGATTCGAACTACACGGATTCATACCGGTGACCTTATGGTCGGAAAGCAAACGTGCAGACCACTCGGCCACCGGCCGACGAGAAGTCTACCTTAATGTCGTCCGTGTCGTGAGTTTCTTTTGCCTTCCCGTTTTCTCTTATTTTCCCCCTCCAACAACGATGTCACAAAGCATAGATAATAGTAGACATCTTTATTTTACCTGCGTTTTATTTTTTGCTTTCTCATATATCGTAACTTTCGTATTGCGACGCATCGTATTTCTCACCCTAAGCTAGTGTGTAATGATGATGATAATGCTATTTCAAATTAACCCTCAGCTCTAATTGAGATTGCAACAGCAGTTTGGGCAAGGCAGGCTGTTTCACCAGTATGTGCCTTGTATGGAGGCATTTACAAATAGAGCTTCAATCCAATGGGTTGTTTGCTGGTAGTCAGCGATCATTCTACCCATCTTTCAACAGCGTTACTATGCGCGGTGTTTGTCTCGTTCACTCTGGCCAGTAAATGGCGCAGTGCACTATGCTGTACTGTGTTCGTCCGTTCTCTGGACTCATAGAGTTGCAGCTTATCAAGCACTGTTTTCAGGTCCTCATGTTTCTCTCTATTTCTCTGCTCTGGGCATCTAACTTCAGTGTTACTTGTTCCACACACACCTTCGCGAAAGGTGTGGCGCCTTAGAATCTAGAATTGGGCCGCGGCACTTTCTGCTCCGCCTATCCATCACCGTTTCTTCCTTCCAGTTATCATTTCTACTCCATCAACATGTAACGTATTTGCCTTCGGTTCTACTCGTCTGCGTGATGATATGCATATGGTTTATTTGACCGACATTTGTATGCTCCGCTCCGGACCGAGTCCCACCTGTTTTCGCACCCGGTTTGTTGTGATACAATAAACATGCCTATCACCGTTGAATTGTCATTGTTATAACAGTGCTTTTGTCGCATTCTACCTTTGTGATGACACTCAACTTTCCTTTCTTCACGCATTATCCCCAGGCTTCAGGATCCGAAGAAGAGGGTGCTGCTGACAGTCATCGCTCTTCAATGCCATCCGGTATTCGCCAGCGTCGGATTTTCGCCCGTGTTTTCGGCTTGGATTCAGAGGATGAGGCGGATGAGGCTTATTTGAACCGTAGTTCACCAAGTGGTACACATCGGTCTTCATCCGGGGGAGTAATCTTGGAGAGCGAGTTGTTAGATGGTCTTCCGAATTGGCTTGATCGCGTATTTGAAGGCTCACTGCCTCGATACCAGCTTATTGATTGGCCCTCCAGCCTCCGCGGCGATACGTTCGACCATTTAGAATAGGCTGTGCAATAAGTATTCTGGCATGCATTTTACTGCTTGCTGATTCACTCGGCCCGTACCTCATTCCTTTAGTTCCAACGTAACACACATCAGAGCTAAATGACTTTTTACCCAGACCTGTGTGGATGAGTTGTATCGGAAACCTCATAGTTTTGTCAGTCACTTGGTGATTATGCAATCGCTGGTCGCTGTCTCCTTCCGTTGTATTCCCTTCTTTCCACACTCCGCCGTACATTTCCAATCTCATAGTTCCAAACCCTATTTCTCTCTTTCTTTTTCATCCCCACAATTTTCCCTTGTACATATGAGTAGCCCGGATGACAAATAACATTACCTTCGAATTGCGGCAACTACATAACCGTCAATTCACCAACTGCACTCGTCGCTGATAAAGCTGTCCTTTGGCAGTTTGCTTTTCCGTTTTCCTTCAACACAACACATTACAGTTTTTCTTTGAGATTGCATTGACTTGGCCCACCCTACATTCGTTGGCTTCACTGAGCCTTTCACGCCATCCATTTCATTTTTCTCGATCTCAGCATGTACTCTCTGTGACACTGGACTTCTAGGGCCAGAAACGTTTTCACACAATTCCTCGTTATTTCATGTGCCATAAGTTTTTGCTTGAACATCCGTTGGATTGTTCAGGGGAGTGTTATCTACTTCGCGTTTCAAAACGCGAATAGTTTTGGCACTGTGCTTAAATGTATCTACTTGCTACTAGTTTCGTTTCGCTTTTGCGCTGACCAGCCGGCTCAGTTACACGCGAGCAGTAGCTTGCTATCAGGATTTGCAACTAGAGCTGACGCAGCTCATGATAATCCCAATTCCTTATAGATTATACACATTCATTGGGCGGGGTTGACTCCGAGGTTACATCTCACCACGCGAATCCACCAATGGGTTTACTGGTTAGCTTGTTCAATACCGGTTGAGCAATCTTGCTGCGATACAGAATGGCTCTCGCACTTCCATCGGGTGTCAAATTATCGACAGTAGCCAATACTAGGGTGCCACCAGCTTACAACTTAGATGGGAGAAGCAAGACGGGGCGAAAATTACACTCAATGCTGGTCATCTGTCGCCATCAAGTATTGTACGAGGATGAGGCGTTGCTCCCGCGGATGATTCTTTAAGGTCATTATATTCGCTGCCCTTTTGGTCACCATTGCACACGCCGATTGATCGAGTGGATAAACTCTAACGAACGTTATTGGTTGATAAATGCATTTCTTTACATTGACTCTGGGGACAGTATCTGGAACTAAAATGGGTTGATCGCTTCCTCGTTGATTATCATGACAGTTGGATAAGTGCCGCATCTCCTGCAGTCTATTATTTTATTGTCGGGTTTTCAGTTGACAATTATGGGTAATTGTCCATCACAATTGATTAAATACGATGATGTTAGCGGAAGCACGTTTGTGTATAAAACTGTACCAGTTTATACACCGACTTAAGTCACGTTTCTTATTCCAGCTGTGTATTTCATTGCTATAGATTTCATTTAGCGATGATCACCCTTGTTCCAAGCCATATGTAGTTTTCACATCCTGAATACTCTAGCATTACCATAATGGGTCAGCTCTACAATTCGGGCTTGCGTAAAATCTTGGTTTTCTGCATACCCTTTCATCTATTATATATATATATATATATATATATATATATATATATATATATATATATATATATATATATATATAGTTCCCGTCTTCAGAGGGCTGGGTTTGTATCACTCTTTTCATTTCGACATTCTATGGTATGTGATCTATGAAGGCTAGCGTTGTGTTTTTCGGATAGTTATCGTCTGGGTACTGATAACTAGTTTTTATTAATCGGAATTCCGGCAGCGTCCTTTGGTAGAGAGAGGGAGTCACTGAAGGGAAATTAACCTGCCAGTCTGGGTGGACCAAATTTAGGTTCACTCGCACACTGATAACTATTTGACTCGGCTATATGCTTTATTTCATTTTATTTTCCACTTTTTTTACGGAAACCACAAATGATTACCATCGGTTTAAAGCAGTCATCAACTTTGGGTAATTCAATGCAAATCGATTGTCGTCATTTTTCAGATGATTATGGTTTCTCAACTTACTCCCCCCTGCAACGGATTAAATTCTTGACACTACGTATCACTGACTGCTTGGTTGGTTGCTGTTTACAAGCGTCCCCCCTTCTTATGTGTTCGTTGTGAACTTAGAAGTGCATGATTGTTGTCACCTGGTATATTTACATTGGGTAGCGTATAAAGTTGTTAGATGTGCCTTGAGGGGTTCCTTGGGTTGTTGTTGGCAGCGGATAGAAATTGTCAGATACGGTTTTGCTTTATTCACGGGGATTGTTCTTTTGTCCTTCGTCTATTTCTTTTCGTTAGTGACACCGTGTTAAAATTGCTTAACTCTCTGACAAACATCCTCCATATAATCTACATAATTATGCGGGATTTGCTAGTTTTCCATCTTCATCCGCTTAGTCAAGTCAACTCAAAGTGGGCTTTTGTGCACCCGGGTAGGTGCATTTTCAGCATATTATACTCTCACTGCGAATGGTTATGTGTATGAAATTACCCTTTAAAGAGAAGAATAGAACATCTAAAAACTGTCTGCACCTATCACTAACGAATAATTTTGCGTCATATTTTTTGTTTAGGTTAGGTCAACTACCAAGCGGGACAGCTGCGGGGGTACAGAATTTCGGTAAGATGCAGTACGAGAAAATAGTAGCTTAATTTTGGAGCGGCTGGAAGAAATAGATAGTGTTTTTGATGGGTCACGACGTAGTGGATACATAGAGTTGTTCGGAATTTTGAAAGAAAAACTGGTACAAGCGTGTAGATGCTTACTAACAATAAAATCCACAAGTTTCTCTCTAGGCAGTCCACTGCCTCTGGAAATAAGCTTTATGGACAGTACAATCAATGTGTTGTCGTTTTTGAGTAACTCAGTTTAAGACTACAGGGAACAGTAGAGCCAGTGCGACAGAACGCATGCGGTCGCAAATCTAATACTCAACTCACGGTGTACTGAAAGTACTTTAAATCGAAGGGCGTAGAATGACCACCGCTAACTCTACAAGATGTTTCGGCAACGTGAATAGACCAAGATAGATTTCGGGATAAAAAGATATTCAACACTTGACAATCTGGATATGAACAGCGCACTCACTGCCAATATAGTGGTGACGCGCAAAACAACTCGTAAGTTGTCCGCTCAGAAAAACGCGAATGTTACGTCTCGACATTTAGAAGTGTTCAAAATCAGAGATCGGGATGATGACCAAAGCATAAGTTCATGTAGATCATTTTGGAAAGTAGATTGCTACGGAGAGAAAGCTTACAGTCAGCGATCAAGCCGAGAGCAGTGGCATAGAAGCGGATCGATCTACAATTAGAGAACGAACTCGAGTACAGATCAAAATGCGAATCGATGTGGAATCAGCGGCAAGTTGGATCATCAACTTGAGCCATTTGAGTTGTGTTAATTAACATCAATTAGCATCTCAAATATTGTTGTTTTAGTAGTTGTCCACAACCTATTTATTGCGCCATGCTCTCATACAACACGTCTCTCTGTCTACCTAGTTCTGACTTTTTGTATTCCGTCGGTTGGCTGGGCGCGTGACTGAGAAGTCAGAAAGTCGCAGTCTCAAGGGGTAGCTATTAGCAGTACAACAATCGTCAGTGGCAGAGAGCATAGGTAAAGGAGAAGCGTTACAACATAGATATCCCAACGGTAAAGTAATGCATCCCAAAACGACATCATCAGCATAACTGCATTCAATAAAGGCGGATAGTATGAGTAGCTTCCTAATTTCCAAAAATATAGGGCGGGTGAGAGGATTGCTACATGCAAAAGATCGCCACTAGAGCACATTCAGAAGACTTCACTCCATTTATTTGGGTGTATTGGGTACGGTTTGTGAAGTAGTCTTTAATTACGCAGCAAACACTTGTTGGAACTACATTCGCAAAGAGCTGGCTAAACTTTGCAGATCTGTTATCGCTCCCGAAAGTACCCGTATAGTCGGGGAACAGAAGGCGTAGTTCCCCACATTTTTCCTTTAGTGCAGCTGGTACAGCATCCAGTGTGGAGCAACCATGTTTGTATACTTCGCCTGCATTGGTGAGCGTTAAAAGCTGGGGCAAGTAGTTTCTCGATGACCTTCAACATCACCGATGTACATGCGATTGGACGATACCTGTTGGAGTATTTCTTGCGCACATGCGTTATCCTTGTCGGTCTCCGAATCTTAGGGTTGGTGCAATCCATAGCTCATCGGTTAAAAATGGCTGGCAAGCTGGTCTGCACAATGCTTTAGGACAAGTGGTGATAATTCATCTGGGCCAGTAGCCCTATTTCTTGACTTCTCGGCAAACATTAAACCTGTCGAACGTGACTTCCGGACCAGTGTTGGTGAAGTGAAACAAAGAAAATATACCGTGTCTAGAAGAACAGAACTCAGCTTTAGGTTTGTTCACATCCACCTTATCAATACGCTTATCGGAACTTTGGCCACATAGGTGCTTCAAAAGTTACCAAAGATCGTGACAATCGTGATTGCCCAGCACAATCTCGATGTATAAGCGGTTCAATCTTTTTATTTCAGACTTCATTGCCGAAGTGAGTCTTATAATGTACGCAGTCATTTCGTATTTATAGGTTTGTTTCTCCCAGGTTGTTTTAGTAGTGGCGAAGTTCTATCTATCCATCCATAGGCTGATTGTCTCAACAACGCAGGAGTTAATCTATTCAGTCAAGTAGTCGCACCGTGATTTGTGCGCTGGGGTATCGCGAATTCAGCGGTTTGTTTTACATCACTATACTAAGCATAATGGTTAACAACTATGCGAAAATAATGAAGTGAACAAAGTGGTAAACTCATTCAGTTAGTAAAAGTGGCGTTACAATCTTTAGTGAAAGATTACGAACTCAAAAACAAGAAGATAATATAGTGGAGCCATAGAGTTCTTTGTTCTATCGTCTCGGAGAAAACATTTGGCCGTTGATACAGTCGATCTCGAAGGAGAATGGGACATACCAACCCTACCACGCCTCTCAATTAGCAGGTATTTTTTAGGTTTTGCATTCTCACTGACTGACTGTTTAGGAGGTCCATCCAATCAGTAGCAATGCTGATAATCGACACGTTGGAGCGACCTGCAGTTATAGGGGTGGTTTGTCTTCGGCAACGTATACGATCCAAGTCCATCTGGTGATCCAGTGCAATTCTGCTGCCGAGCACATACTTGCATTTCTCGTATGATATTCTCACTAGCCAACAGCAACACCACTTTGTTTGCATCAGATCCCCTTAGGTGTTTGAGACTTCGAGAATCTACACGGATTATTCCGATGAGTCGGTAACTAGTGTGTGTATTTTAGCGACGTTAGTGAAAAGCGGACCGTTCCGGCAGCTCGTTTATGGTGAATATAGCTTGATGCATATCTGTTGCTTCAACGGTATCTTCCTTCGAGTGTTCGATTCTCCACATCGGTTCATCTTGGAGTACTTGTATTGGCTTACTCGGAAGACTACCAGGAAGACGAATCGAGAAATAAGAAACAACGCGCACCTGGTTTCCTGTATTGATACTGGATGGTTTTCCCCTCTGCGTATACAGTGCCACAGCGTAGTGTTTATTACCTTAGACGAAATCTTCGCAACGCACTACTCCTCAGTAAAAAGCAGCACAAGCTGACACTACTGTAGCGACAGAACAACGCAGCGA